TGCAACAATAATAATAATAACATAAAAATAGTATTCAATAGTACACAGAATAAAAACTTTAATGACAGCTGGTGTGTAATTATAACAACCCCACCCCATTATTAATCAATTACTATAAACTCCATGTGTTCAATACGTAGTTTCTCCACTCCAGCCCCGTACAACTCACAAAGTATACAAACCATTCTTGTTTTCTTTCCTGCACCCGACGGGCCATAAATCAGCAAATGAGGGAAATCATCAGACTGGACCTAATGAAGGGAGGGGCAAAAAGACAAATTTTCTGTCATAATTATTCTAATTTTTACCAGTCTTTTCAAGCTGGCAGCTTACTCTTGATGATAATGAAGTTTATTAAGGTTGGTTGGTCTGTACTTATCTCCTCCCGTGTTGTTACCATGCTGCAGCAATTAAAAGGTGTGGCTGAATATAGGCGTGGCACAAATATTTGACCCGCCCACTCAATATTGCCATATCACTTATCCTTTCCCTCTCCTCTCGTCCTTGTTGTTTTGTTGGTCCTAACTCCTTTAGTCTCAGGAGGTACACTACAGATCATGTGACACGTGCGTCATTATTTGTTGGATCATTGGGTGCCTTGCGAGCATCTTTTAATTTATGGTAATTGTATGTATAATTGCTTTGATGTATGTATATGTACTACATGTGCATGATATGTACCCAGTGCATGTAAAATTAGTCAAAAGAACTAGTAATGACTAGTCCAGTTTTGACTTTTGCTACATTGTACTATAAACTGCTAACTTTATTCAATACTTGACCTCTACTTCAATACTTGGGATAAGATTATTGATATGATATGTAGTCCACAATGCAATCGTCATTGCTGTATAGCATGTACATGTACACATTCGACCAACCAATTCCATGCTAGAGGAAAGAGTATAAAAGGAAGGGAGAGGATAGAATAACATGCACATTATTATTATTATTATTTATTATTATTATTATTATTATTATTAAAACTAAGCTGTCATTTTCCCTCATACGTGCCACAAACATGTGCATTAGAGGCTCAAGATCAAAGTGGAGGGGTATTGGCATAGAGGATGGCTATGGCATCAATGATTTTGTTATCTAACTTATCCTTTGTTCTCAACTTATTACTTTGTTCTTATTGTTCACTTCCCACACTCTTCCCCCCCTCTCTCTCTCTTTCTCTCCCTCTCTCCTTTCTTTCTTATTATTACTGGTACTATATATTGTCATTATTTTTCCCCCCTATCCGTATCTCTAACCTATCCTACATTTGTATTTTTGTCAATATGTAATAATATTGTTATGGCTATAGTATTATTATTATTATTATACCGGTAAAATAATAATAATGTGCATGCATGTATGTCTCTTTTATTATTCTATCCTCTCCCTCCCTTTTACTCTTTCCTCCAGGATGGTATTGGTTGGTTGAATAGTTGCTGGGATTGGTGTAGGGTCAGTCCTCACTTAACATGTGTACATTTACATGTAATACCAATGTATTTTAAAACCTTTTTCTCCTTATATGTACATGTAGTATATTGAGTATGATTGTTCCTGTATATAATGCTGAGGTGGCACCAAAGACTTTAAGAGGAAGGCTAGTCTCACTGAACCAGCTCTTCATCACAGCCGGCATAATGGTAATAATAATAAATTAATAATTAAGAGTACATATAATTATAATGATACCTACAATACCGTATAGCGGAAAATTTTCGTGGATTTCGCATTTTTTCAAAATCTACGAAAAAAAATCCACAATAATTGATTTAATACGGTTCAAGTTGGCCAAAAAGTAGAAAACCATGAAAATTAAAGCCACAAAATTGATTTTTGAAAGAATCCGCAAAATTTTTGGGCCACAAAAATTTTCCACTATACAGTATTCTCTTGTTAATGATAGTTAGATTTAGATTAGTAATGAGTTAATGACATACTCTAATGACAAACACACTTTCCTAGTTGTGACACTTTTACTATTCTTAACTTTATTAATGGTTCTTGTATATTATTAGTCCTTATTCTGTTCCTATTAATTTATCCCCACCTCTCTCTCTCTCCCTCCCCCC